AGGAGTTCTAACAAAACGTTTCAGAGAATGTTATCCTTCAATTAATAAAAAAACAAAAAAAACCCAAACATCTTCAGGAATTCCATGCCCGGTTCAGTCTGTTCCAGTGAGCCCGCTTGCTAAAAATCCACGTGCACCATTAATTACATAGGCTTGGCAGCACCATTTAAAAATAAGCCTGTTCACTACCAACCGCGCAGAGTAGGGACACAAAGTAGAAGCAAGTAACTGATGGCAACCATAATCGTGGAAAATGGTCGATGAAAGAGTCAGAAAGGTAGTCTGGCACCGGTATAAGCAGCAGAAAACAAAGAGTTGCTGGGCCAAAGATTAAATAGGCTTTTTGATACTAGAGAACACACTCACTCCTAATTGTAGCTGCTTTATACAGGGAGCCATTGTACCATACGCATCGGTCACCCGTCAGGCACCCCATGGTGAAAGGAAAAGATTCAGAATAGAAGCCAAGCAGGGGAGTGTTGTTACCCCGAATATCCATTACGCATAGAAACAGCTCACATATCCCAGGGACTCAAACAGGGGCTTCAAACTGGTTGTGAAGGGTCCCAAATGACATCTAGGCCTCAGTTTCCTCCCTGTGGCATAGAGGAATTGTAGTTAACTCTTCTGGGTCACAGCCTTTTTTTGAAAACTTACTAGCGATGGACAGTCATTCCCTAAAACGCACATTCCCATAAAATTTCTGCATACAATTTCAGGGAGTTTGGGGATTTCCAACTCCAATCCAAGGTTCTCAAGATCAAAATCCAAGGATTGGGCAATTGCTAAGTTTTCTTACAACTCAAAAAACATCACAAACAATAATCATCCTTTATGTACCCCGACGCTTTATAGTTTACAAAGCGCTTTCAATCCCACACACACTGATAGGCAGAGGAGGAAACTGAGGCGCAAACTACAGAGTGATTTGCCTAAGGTCACTCGGCCAGCTGATGGCTAGGCCCGGAAGCAAACCCAGCTCTTCCGACTCCGGAGCTCGTCTCCCCACTCCGGAGCTGCCGCCAGAGCTCCCGCCCCTGACTAAGGCGGCATGAGGAGGAAAAGGCAAAGTAGAAAGCCCACCACCAACCATCCTCCGGCCCCCTCTTGCCCCCCCAACTGGGTCCTTGCAGGCCCCGAAGGGTGGCGCCAGGCCTCCAGGCCGGCCCCGGCCACCCCCGCCTCCCCAGCCGCGCCAAATCCCGCCGCCTCCCCGGGAGCGGGGCGGAGCAGCTGCCCGCCGCCGCCGACCACCCGGACGACTCCTCGTCGAATCGCAAACGCATAGGCCGCCGCCCGAGTTCTGCGTACGAGAAGAAAGACGCGGCGCGAGCGCCAACGGCCACCGGGCGCTCGCCGCGGCGGCCGGGCCTGCGCCCCAAGAGCTGGATGCCAGAGCAGGAGAAAGAGCCGCCAACCGATCGCTCGATCGACCGCACGCCCGCTCCTTCGCCCTACCAGACCGGGGAGGGGGGGAGGGCGCGCCAGGGCTTCTTCGAGTTAGGGGCCTGACTCCCCGGCGACGAGACAAGATGGCTCCTCCGGTCCGCGCCGCAGCTACCGTCCGGGTTGCGTCGCTCGGCCCGCCCCCGGTACTGTTCCTTTAAATGGCGGAGAGGGTCAGGAAAGCAGGAAGAGAGGCCCGCGCTACCACGTGACATGGGCGGGACCGGCCAACTAAGATCCGGTCACGTGGGCACACGCTGCTCACCAATCAGGAGGCGGGGCATCAAGGCGGGGGCGGGAGGAGGAGCGGGTTTTTGATTGGCGGAATGCGCCGCGGAGGCCTCGGGGGTTTGGGGCGTCGGGGAGTGCGCGAGGTGGCTGTGGCTGTGTGCACTAGCGGAGACAAAGCGGTGGTTGTAGCGGCGGCGGCTGCAGCAGAGCATCCCTGAACGCCGAATTTCGTGGGGCTAAGTCCTGTCATAATTTCATCTAGTGCGGCTCCCGGACGGCAGCGGCGGCGGAGGAGGCGGCAGCGGCGGCCGCGGCAGCACATGGTTCCAAGAGCGCGCTGCGGGTGTTGGGTTCCAGATCCGCGGGGAGGGACAAAGGCTGCTGCGAGTTCCCGGCAACGCCCGGTCGGGTGGTGCGCTCGCCACTGCCCTCGATCCGGGTCTTGAAAGCTGAGACTAACTCCTCTCTGTGAGGAGGAAGCCACGGGACCGAGGGCCGGAAAGGGCCTGAGAGGCCGAGGCCGCTGTCTGAGGGAAGTGGGGGAGGGGCGCGGCCCGTTTGAGGTGATTTGGGCGGGCCAATTGTGAGGTAATTTGACCCACCACCCTGAGGAAATTAGGGTGGTGAGGTTTGGTCGGGCTTGGAAAAAAGAAATCAGCAAGCAGGGTTTGGTTGGGCTTGGAAAAAAGAAATCGCCCCTCTGCGTTCTTTCCGCTCTTTCCGTTGGGACGTGGTAAAGCCGAAACTAGCTCCATATGCTCTCCATCGACATCGAGGTCACCAGTCAAGAACCTATTTAATTATTACTGGTGGTGAAGACATGGGGGATTGTTCAATTTTATGACAGAAGTGGGTAAGTTTATAGGTTGGTAAATTTCCGGATTGGTAAACACAGGAAATTTAGGGGTACAACAACAAAAAAGGACTGGAAGAACATGAAGATGGAGCAGTAATAAACTGAAAACTCAAGGATCATCTACCCCAGGACCATCCATATTTGACTCAACTTGAACTATCGCAACTTAACTCTAAAAGCTCCTTAGATCTACAGGTTTTTTTCGTAGTACATTCCAAAATATTACGTCATAGTCATTGAGAAGATACAGAAAAACTTAAAGAAGAAATCAATTGTAGTTGTAAACAAATCTTTGAACATATTTTGGATAGATACTAGCTTTGTTTAATTGTCATTAAGGAGCTGGGACTTCCCAAGCCTTTACTGGAAGGAATCCTACAAAAGCTGTTCCGTTATAAGGTTGTATTTCCTAGTTAGTGGGTAAAAGGCTCAAGACCTCATTGCAGTCATGGCTTTCACAAACTACAGCAGTCTGAATCGAGCTCAGCTAACCTTTGAGTATCTGCACACAAATTCGTAAGTATCCTATAGGTGCCACTGAGGTCACCAGTAACTCATTCCTTGACATTAATATGGAAATCCTTTCCCCAGGAAATTTTGCTTTTTAACTTTTTGGGATGTTATCACTGGAGTGAAGTATATCACTGGATGTCTTGAGCTCTTTATTGAAGAACTGAGATCAGTGAAATATTTGTTGCTAATCCAGAAGAATCTGATTTGCATTTATTGGATCAGAATTTCCTAAACACAAACCTTAGTTTTTTGAAGTCAATATATTGAGTTGTTTCAAGTGTTTGATAGGAATCCAACAAGTACTGCGTTTTGGATCGCCCAAAAGTTCGACTATGTTAGTATCAACTTCTCTTCTTTAGTGACAGAAGTCTAAACAGTGGGGTTAATAACAAGTGTTTCCTATAAGAAAAAACAAAAAAGGAATGAAGACATTTAAATGACAACTTGTGAGAAGAAAATCTTTATTATTTTTTCCACAGACAGTTGGCTTTATCTTCCTGGGAAATTGGTTCCTACCTCCAGTATAGTTGTATATGCTAAGCAGGAAATGGCAAGTATGTTTAAATCCTAGATTTAGGTAGTTTTTCCCCAGAATGTGCGAAATCACAGAAACAAACTGTGTTCATGGTTCTTGAGTTCGTGAAGAGATTACCGCCACTCCAATTTGGTCTGGAATGTTTATAGGTTCTTATGCCCGCTTTCTTAGAAGTTATCCAGTGGGGTCAAAACTACTTTAGTCTTTTAATACGTTCACCTGTTACCTTTGAGATGAAGGTAAGTATTCTGCCATTTTAGTATGTGGAGAGATGATGAGCAGCGAAATGAATGGTCCAGTTATCTCAAGAACCATCTTCAGAGTTGAGAGTATAGACTTCAGTTTATCCAATAGTAGCAGTACAATGATTTTTAGCCTTTTATGGAAAAGAACATGTTTATGATTCTATAATGTCTAATATTTTGTTATTTTTTCCTATCATGGAAATAAAAGTCTTCTAAGTGGTGAAGTAAATTGCCAAACAATGAGACCTTGGTTTTATTTTGTTTTGTTTAGGGAGGTTATTATTGAACTAGAGCACTTTAGAGAAGGTACTATAGAGGTCAAGTAGGCCAATGCTCACACTTATGGATGATGAATATGAAACCCATTTACATGAAATGTTAATCAAAGATCAACTAGTTGATATCACAGCCTTGGCAAAACCTTCAGTGTCCTTTATTAATTTTGATCTGCCATGGTAAGAACAAGCATTGGAGGCCACTTAAATGTTCATGTATGATTATGTTTGATAAAATGGTTATCTCAGTTCTGGATTTTGAAATGATGGCATATTTGGAATTATGGACTTTATGATAATGTTGGAAGACCACGAACTGGACTTCGGAATCTGGGTTCTTGTTCCAGCTTTGCCAAAGACTGTGATAATGGATAGTAACAAAAGTTAATTATTTCCTGCTGGTGACTGTTGTAAACATTGGCAAAAGTAATCTCTACAACAACCCTGTGGGGTAAGGATTATTTCTATTTTGCATTTCAGGAAACTGAGGCTGAAAGAGATGAAATTACATGTTAATGGTTACATAGCTGCCAAGTGGCAATTTAAGTTGCCAGGATTTAAGGTAGTAAAATTTGTCTGACCGCAGTGGCTAGTGCTTCTAACCATTAAGCTGTTCTGACTGTAGTCAGTTTTGTCTTCAAGGGCTTGTTTTCTGCGTATAAAGCAAAGGGTTTACTTCCCACTTTAAAAGTATTTGATTTTAGTTTACCTCAATGAGTCTAATTGGAGGATTCTGGGATATTTTCCCCTGTTTATTTATTTATTTATTTTGCTGTTGAATAGCTTATTAACAGTAGGTGGGCCGAGCCAAAGCAAAGAAGCAAACGTCAGTTAAGTCACCTGTATAAGGTGAAGTTGGAAAATTTTCTGTGAAATTGACTTTCCCAAATTGAACTGGAACTACCTGCTTGCATGAGCGTTTGAGGGTTGGAGTATCATTTTGAAAGCCCTGGAATTTATCTTCATCACAACTTTGGCCTTTGAAGTTGTTCTACTTTTGAACGTTTATTGTCCTACCAGAAGGAAAAGTGAACCCTAGAACACCAAGATATATATTTTTTTATTTTGGTGGCTGGCCTGTATGGGGATCCAAGTCCTTGACATTGGTGCCAAGGTACATTTTTTGTTTGTAACTAATTTCAAGGGATTTTTTTTTTTTTATTGTGATGACCTGATTTGAAATCCATTTTTAGAGGAAACCGAAATTGTTAAATTCTGAAATGATGTGTCTTGTTACTTGTAATGATGGAAGATGAACCTCCTCTGTGTGAGATGGTTCAATAAGTCACCTTCAGAGAAGGGAAGATTTATTTTACAGTATTTTCTCTTTTGTTAATTTTTTTAAAAACAAAATCATTATAGGGTATCTGACATCTACAATATTGCCATACTGTGAATTATGAAAGAATTATGGCCCTTTGCTTACCTCCCGTTTAATATAGACTTACAAGCAGAGTCTAGGCTAAAAGGGTGGAAATCAGTGTGGTGCAGTAAAAAGACCTTCAAGCTTGGATTTGATGCTTCCTGGGTGTGTCCTAGGGCAGGTCAACTTCTTGAGCCTTGGTTTCTTCATCTATTTAATGGAACTAATCTGATAGCGTTTATGAAGATTATGTAAATTGACGTATATAAAGTTCTTAGCTCATAATGGTACACAGTAAACATCAAGTAGATGTTGACTAATATTTATAATATTAATTTAAATAAACCACAAATCGGTCAGTGTGGTGGAAACTTGGTGTTTGGTCCTAGACATTAGGCAGATAAATTCTAGAGCATCTGTTGGAGACAGTAAACATCTTTCTTGGCCTTTTTTTGTAACAGGTCTGTGGTAGCTATTGCATTCTTTTGGTTACATCAGTTTTAATGCTTGAAGCAGGCCTGGGAAATTCTCTTGGTAACGAGAAAGTCTGGCTAATTTCTTTTAATAATGGATATTGCTTGTATGAGAAGATAAAAATTAGGGTTTTTTAATAAAAGGACTTATATGTTGTTACTGCTCTTTGGTGGCAGGTTTTGTGACTGCTGTTCCTGATGTGGTGGTGGTAGTGATATTCTTTTGGCACAAGATGTATATCGTATGTCATTTTATTTGCAGTTCTGCTTAGTGGTCTAATAGAGCAGGATTGTTAAGTATAAGAGGCCTACTTTTTATGACTCTAATTGTTGACACATTTAGTAGCTTACTGTCTTTGCCATATGATATTTCTGGGTTGTTTTATTCATATGTGAAGTGAACGTAGAAGAACCTGTCAACTCAGAGACTTATATTTCTTTTGAATTATAAGCCTGTTGAAAAGTAGGTTCACACTTTAAATATATTAAAGCAATTTGAATGTAAAGTGTTTGTTCCAGAATTTGTCAGCTTTTTTTCTAGCAATTAAGGCAATTAACTGTTGTCAACATATCCAAGAACTCAGCAGAAGCTATCACTTTGTGATGGGCTTGTGGATAATCTATTGGTTTAAATTCAGGCTGACTATATTAATAGGGAGACCATTTTCCTTACATAACGAGTTGATTTACACATGAGTCTGTTGCTGGAAATGCTGAGTTGCAAAACTATTTCTGCTGTTGCACAGAGGTATAAAAGCCATGATCAGTTAAAGCAGAAGAAGAGTTTGTTAAAAATCTTTTTCCAGATGGTTGATCTTTCTTGGATCACATGCAAAGGATCTTTAGGTCTGTGAAGGATTTCTTTTGATATTTATCCATTCTGTCTCAAATGCTAGCCAGTAATGAGTGTACCTCTTGGAATATTATTTTTGGGGGAAAAAAAGAACTTATCTGTTGGTATATTTTTGTTTCTTATGATTTTTGGAAGTATTTAGAACTCTGACTTTAGCATCTGGAAAATTCATCTTTAATCGGTTTGATGTGTGGAGAAGATTCTGAGCATTGTCTGTTACCTTACCAACAGTTGTCACAGTAGGCCCCTTTTATGATGTGTACTGCCATCATAAAAGTACCTCTTAGCTACATCTTGAAGATATGTTTTAGCCTATCTGAAATATGTATGTGTGGAATGGCATTGATACTATGTGGAACAACAAAGATCATTTGGAGATTTTTTATAAGTTTTAAATGTGCAAGACACACTTCTAGATTATATACAAAATGGTGAAAACTTAAGCCAGAGGTATTTTGTGGTTGCCCTTTTGAGATCTGCTTATTGGGCTCTAAATGCCTCATTTTCATGTGAAGCAATCAGACATATGTATTGCTGGGAAGCAGTTGCTATTTCGGTTTTAGGTTTCCTTGTCCTGATGGCAAAGGGTGTCAGAATTAGTTTTCCAGATTACTCATATTTACCATTCTCACTAGCAAAAGCCAGAAACTTTAACTTATTTATTCCAAAGTTAGTGCATTCTGATGCAAGTTATGGTCTCATTCTTACTATGGTTGTGCTCTTGTTTTTTCCCAGGAGCTGTATTTCTGTGATTTCTTAACTTTATTTTTTATTTTATTGTTTCCTTGACTTTAAAATACAGGTTGATGTTGAAATAAATATTGCAATAGAATTGGTTATTTTATATTTCTATTTAACAGTCTTCAAAATTTAAAAAAATTTAATCAATTAGAGAAAATTAATTCACTTTGTAAGTTTCTAAGTCACTTATAAGTCAGACAGGAGAATGGCTCATTGAAAATTTGAGAACAAATGTTAGATACACTTTTTTTTGGCAGTGATTTTTTTTTAATGTATTTTTTTGTTGTACATGTTTATGGGGTTTAGTTTGTTCTTTCAATACATGCATATATTCTATAATGTTCTAATCAGAATAGTTAGCATTTGTATCACCTAAACATTTAAGATTCACTTTTAACCTACATTTCTCTTGGTAAGTCACCTTAACTTTCCAGCTTATTTCTCCCTATTTTTTTAGTGGAGTAATTTACAGAATACTTTTCTGTTTTTTTCAGTTGATAATTTGAAGAATTTAAAGTGATAATTCTAAAGACTTAAATATTTTTAATAACTAAAGAGATGGCTATTTTATGCAGGTTTTCTATTTTATGCAGGTTAATCTTTCTTTTAAGATTGCTTCTTCCATGTTAAATAATGAAGAATTGGAATTTAGCCAGAAGAATTTAAGCTCTATTTTCTAGGTGAATTGGTGATAAAATTTCTGGGTTTTGTTACAACATATTATTGGTGCTGCCTTTGGATTAGCAACAGATATATTCACTGATCTTGTAAGAAAAAGTTCTTCCTAAAATTCCAAGAACTGGTAGTTTTATTTAACTCAAAATTTGCATTTGTAAAAATTTGATGAGTTACTGGAAGAAAAACCAGTGTTCCAGGACAGTTCAGTTATGGGTATTTAGTTTATAAACAAATGTTTTACAGTTTGTTTAAAACAATATGGTAAGTGATCAGAGATCCTAGATACTTGTTATTTAATATTGATATATATTATTCTAAATTTGTAGAAATTTTCGCTTTGGCTATTGGCTGAAATTTTATGTGAAAAAAGTCAGCAAGAATAATTTGGGTATTTTTGAAAAATTGATGATGGTAATGTGTGGGTTAATGATTTTGTATTTTCTCTTCTAATCAGAAGTCAAGCTGGTTTTTTAGGTGGTTCTGTGTGGACACTTACTACTTTTACATCTAATGGGGACTATTATGGGAAACAGCACAAATTAAAGAGCACATGCTCAATGTTTAACTTGTTGTTAGCATTTTGTTTTACCAATACCTGCGTGTGATGAACCAGTGAAAAAAGGAAACCTATACACTTCTGTGCAATTTCGAAGCAAAAATTTCCATATTCCATTTAAAAGTGGGAGAGAAAGGAGACAATAACCCATTTATTGACTTCCTCAGATTTTGGCTAAAAACACAACTTTCCCCACATTAAAGAAAGGAATCCAAAATTTCTGGAACTGTTCCTTCTAGGAGAAGAGCTTGGCGTGGTTTCCTAGGGCCCCTATTAAAGTTAACTCCTTCAAGAAGGGGAGCCAGTGGTCATCTCCTCTGGGAGGCTGCTCAAAGTTTGGGTTGGGTAAATACACAATTACCATGTTATTCAGAATTCAGTGAAAGTGATATCTATGTATAAGATTTATCCTTACAAGTCTTCCTTCGAGATATGCAGAAACTGACAGCTAGTTAAGGCAATGAAAAATAAAATACAAGTATATTTCTAGGCAGAATATGAATAGTGAAAAATGCTGCTTTTAGCAGTTGTACATATAGAAATCTTTTAATGCTTCATGGGGACTTTCTCAACTCAAAATAGGAAGAACAAGCATTTCTGAATAGATAGTAGGATTTGATAGATTAACACTTGAGGGGAATTAGTAAACTCTGGAAAGCCTGGGGTTATGGAGAAGCTTAAATTTCAGTAGTATAAATCAGCAATGTAAATGGTGATTTTAGATTTTCTAAAAACTTAAAGATATTTTATGGACTTTTTCTTAAGAGTCATACTTCATATTTCTTTTGCTGACTCTTAGTATTTATCATTTCAGAACCACTCATGAATTTTTGTTTGGTGCTCTTGCTGAACTGGTTGATAATGCAAGGTATGTAGTCTTCAGGCATATAATCTGTGCTTGGAGTGGAAACTTTATGGGTTGTCGTAACCTTTGCTCTGTGAAAACTTGAGAGGAAGACATTTCTGTAGCAACTGCAACTCTTAAGAGGCCTCTTACTGAAAAAAATATTTTTAATTGCACATTACTTGATAACTTCCACATTGTTATTTGATTAACATAAATTCATTCATTGCTCTTTGTATTCTAGCCTAAAAGTAATGACCTTACCACCTGCCCTTGTATAGTAGAGCAAGATAATTGTAGTGAAATGGAGGGAATGAAGATAGAAACTTAGGAATCAAATCAGTGGGACAGACAAGCTCTGATTTAATTTGTGCTACCAGGACAGTACACTTGCTGAAAATGATGTTCATCTATGTCTCTATACTGTTATTACTTTTGTTGCTCCTGTTAACTGGACTGCTAGTTAACAAGTTGTTTAGCCAGAAAACTCCCATTTTGTTTCAATCCTGGTTGACTTAATTTTTCTATTCAATTAAAAAATGCTGTAGCTTAATGGCATTATGTTTGAATTTGCTACTTATTAACTTAGTGAGACCATGATGTGCTATGGCAGGCAGCTTTTTTGTGTGTAATATGGTGAACTGGAGATTCATTGGAGTATGTGTTCCTACTCATGCACACGCTTTGCCAATCTCTTTCATATTTGAAAATATTTTTATATCTTTGAGAATTGGTACATGTAGAGCTGTGTAGATTTTGAGTAGATTTTTTTGCATGTAAAAACCAGTGAAACTGCCTTATTTGCCTTGCCTGCATTTAGCAGAATTGGACTAAATTACTTCAAAGCCTTTATGGAAACCTTCATTGGTGACTGAATCTTTATGATTTCAGGCAATGGATGGAATCTAATGGAGTGCCCCAACATTGTTTCAGGGTTAGGGAGGACAAAATTATGGACTCAGGAATCAATCTGCTAACTGTAGTATGTACACCATGAGACCTAGTTTTTCACAGGTTTTGCGACAGATTATTGTTTTCCATTTTTCTTAAAATCTTGAGAAGGAAAAATGGACAAGGTATTAGAACATCATGATTGCAGTCAAATGAGTGAGAAAGACACATACTTGAGTCATTTCTTAGTGTGTAAAAGGAAATGTTCTTATTGATCTTCTAGATGTCTTAACCATGAAGCCATGAAGTCAACATTAAAAATATGTATCCAGGCCCTATGTGTCATGAGATTATCTTAAATAATTTGGAGCTCCAGAAGTGTTTCACAGATATAGATGGAAAATTGGGTTGCCAAGTATAAAAGTGAAGCTTTAATGTATATAGAATTTTGTATGGCTTCCTGAAAACACATTCAAAATACTATGCATTTTGATGATTGATATTTTATATTAATTCTCATCTGGATCTTGATTGTTTTTCTTTTAATTTGGCAGGGATGCTGATGCCACCAGAATAGATATTTATGCAGGTAAGTCAGACTTTAGGCCTTTCTTCTAATGCCCAATTCCTCTTAATGCATTTATTACTGTATCTGATAAGAAATGAGTGGAAAATAATTGGTTTCTGGAGGTTGGCAGGATTACTGTAGGTCATAGGTAGAAACAGGGCAGCTCTGGCCAGGAATGTCATAGAAACCAAGAATATTAATTCCAAGAAACTAAAAGGGAGTATCCAGATCTATGTAAATAGCCAGAAGGAGATTTATGGGGGTGATGGAGTAGAGTAGTGGGGAATGAAATGACCAAGTCCTAATCATTTTACTGGTAGGAGCTGGCAGGTGAACCAGGTTTGTCATACTGGAAGCCCAGGAGAGATCTTGTTGGAGTCCACTTTCTTTCCCTGAACCCTCTTGTGATCGCTAGTCCCAACTTGGAGAGTTGCTAGTGTTGGTTGCAGGAAATAGCTGGTAACTGGATTGGCTCTGAGGTTTGCAGAGATGTTCTCAGGCAGAGGTGTCAGGAACAAGGACTGCTTGCCTTGGAATTTAAAGCTGTCAACAGCCTCTACTAGTTTATTTATTTGATTGGCTCTACTTTTTTATAGAAAGAGCCTCTCTTTTTCTTAGAGCGGGTGCAACAGTGGAAGAATTCTTAGTCATTATCATTGGCTTTTTTTTAAAAATAATTTGCTTTCTGCCTGTTGAGTAATTGTATCAGCACCTTTTTTGGTCATTTGAACACTAAAAATTTGGAAGTGGGATAGATGAAGAGAGCTTTTAAATTTGGCTGGTGTGATGTTTTTCTGACAGACTTTTCTGAAGTCTTCTAAAAGGTCTGAAACGTTTTGAATAACATTACTAGCTTCTGAGAAGTCTGTGTGTTTATGTTGGAATATACAGTTATCTACCCCTCTTCATGGACCCATTTGATAAATGGGAACAAATACACAACTAAATAGTAATTCTCAAAACCTCTGATGTCATATAACTGTGAGAATACCCCCCAGATCTGAAGAATTTCTCACGTCTGATATACTTTGGAGCAAAGAAAATATTCAGAACTGCTAAAAGTCAGCTATACTACTTAAATTCTGAAAGCCTTCTGTTCATAAGGTTCTGCAAAATGGTGAAAATAGGGCTCCTTTTATTTTTAGAAGAAAGCAACAGGAATAAGGGGCACAGTGGAAGAATGTTAGAAGATGGTTACTAAACCATCGGGCCGAATGGAGCGCCTTTCCAGGCCACAGCATGTATCTTACGTGTGAGTGTGTTTCGTGAGGAGTGGTATCAGCTACCTCTGAAAGAAATAGTGGCTTTCTTAATCATTGCACAGATGATAAAGCAGAGAATGGGCCTCTCTACTCCAAGTGATGTCAAAGGGATAAATCATAATTAGCCCAGTTAGCTTTGGAAGAAGTTTTTGTTTTTGTTTTTTTGGTGGCTGGCTGGTATAGGGTTATGAACCCTACTTAGTTTTTTTTAAAAAAAGATTTCCGCTCCCTTCTGCCAACTTTGATGGTTGAATTTCAGCAAGGAAATTTAGTTCTTGACACTCAGAATGCAGCAGAACAGTTGGATTTCAATTTAAATGAAAAAGATCCAGTGCACATTTATTCTTTGTTCTATGCTACTTCTATTGTGCTCGGGGAAAAGTTCAGAGAGAGATGGGGCCTTTCCTCTAAGAACATAGTCTCTAGTCAGAGACAGCACACTACTGATGATTAGAGAACTATAACTAGATCTTGAGGGAACAATTAAGACAGTAGGGATTAAATGGAGTGGTGGAAGCACTAAGAACCATAGCATTTTGGAAAAAAGACTTGATTTACTCCAGGTACCATAAGATTGGGAGTCTTGGCCGAGACATCCTTAACATCACCCTTTTCTACCTCAGTGCCTTATTAACACATTCAACAGGAGGAGTAAAAGCAATGGAATCCGTAATAATCTTAATGCTGTAGAGTACTTGTTGTTAGTGTATGGGCAAAAGTATTTTCTTATCGTTTATTCTGAAACTAGATTGATTATGAACTTGGAAATTTCCCCCAAATCAGATACAGTTTGAGGTCACCAGGAAAGTCATATTTTGAAGATTATTTAAATGTGAGATGGGCGAGAAGGAGCCAGACTTTCAAAGTGTAGAGGTGTTCATTTACCCAAAGCATTTCTATTAGTTGTGGCCAGGCCATAATGTGCCTGTCAGAAGTGGACTCTGTTTTTATTGACTTTCCTGACTTCCTGGGATAGGTAGTGCCACCTCCTTGAAGAAAGCTCCTTTTTGTGACCACAAGGCAATGGTTAATAAATGAAAAATTAGAGCAAATGAAACTGAAATGAATACTGGTGAAACATTACGGAGTGAGATGAAGAACTTGGATGCCATTTTATTACAGCCTCTGCTAAGGACATCGTTATTTTATCACCTCTGACTTTTAACTTGTAGCCAATTTGATATCTCTTCTCCCGCTCCTTTCTTTTTCTTGTTCTCCCCAGTTGGAGTTGGATGAGAGAAGCCAGACTTGGACATGTTGGGGGAAGCTTAGCCGTGCAGCCTTCCAAACTGGTTCTGACAGTCTTACATAGCTGCTACCAGGATCTGAAGCACAGCTGCCAAGAAGGCAGTTTGGCTTTGTCTTCCTTCTCTTGCTTACAAGATGTACGGTGGGAAGGGAAGCACACAACACACAGCTGCTTAGACTCTCCTTCATCCAGAATTCCATCTCCATCCCAGTCCTTTCTTTGGAAGCTTCAGATGTCAGTCAGTTGACTGATTAAAGTAATATCAGGTGTTAGGAATGAATCTCTGTGGTGGAATGTCTGGGGGGAGATAGTTTTGAGCAAGGAGACCTTCTAGATCTTGCTTGCTCTAGCTCAGTGGTGGTTCTCAAAGGTTCTCATGGGCAATATCAGCATCAGACTTATGCAATCAGACTATCTAGGGTGGAGCCTGGAATCTGTATTTTCACAATCTCTTCAGATGATTCTGTGCACTCTACATTTTGCTCTAATCGGTATTTTTTTTCAGCCTCTGTCAGCTTAAACCATCCTGTTCTTTACTTCCTACTTTCTCCACTGTGGATAGTAGCAGGGAGTAGAATCCGTTAGACTTGTAAGGTCCATGAAGACAGGTATCACATTTGCATTGATCACTACTCTTGTCCTCATCACAGAGCCAGGCACACAGGAGGTACTCAGTGAATAGTAATTGAATAAATGAATTATTTGCATAAACATTGAAGCTAGATGAAGACACCATACTGCTTATTTACAAAGTTGAGGAAATGAACTGTATAAGCAAGTCTCTCTTGGCCCTGAGGCGGTATTGCATATGAACACAGACCCCGACACTACTAGCCATTTACAGGCTGTTGGCCACTGGGTAGCCAGGAGGATTCCTCCAACGTAGGTCTCTTACCCTTGTAATCTACATGAAAAAACTTTGGAATGAAGTGCTAGAGTCAGAAAGGGATCCTAGACCCATCGTTAAGTGATGATTGTGTGCTGAAACAGCCTGCAAGTCCTGTCCTAACACAAGGACATAGAAAGTAACCTCTTAGGTAGTGTTCAGGGAATGCTAGTAGTCCTTAGGTCCTTTCCAGATGTGCTCGGCTGAACCCAATTTCTAGATCCCAAAGGCAGAGACTTCATGCACGTTTTATGGCTGTAGTCAGCAAATGGCTCTTGGCTAGATTTAGAACACTGCTTTTACCATGCATGTAGCTGATCGAGTTTGAGTCTCCATATGACACTTCACTTCCTCCAGATGGAAACTGTGAAGCCTTTTTGTACTTTTCTTGTACTTGTTTCTGCTTGCCATATCTCATTTGGATTCTTCAGACTCTAATAATAGCCTCTGCGACAAGGAGAAATTTTTTTATCTACAGTAGTACTTCCAGGAAGATCCTCACCCTTGAACTTTCAAGAAGCAGTTGTAATTAATGTCCAGCTTCCTGAACACTGAGTGATACTTGAAAATCTTTGTGGTTTATAGCCCTTCTGAAGTAGCATTTTAAATTATATTGTCTATTTAACAGAGGGTGATCACAACTCAGTTGAATTTTTAGCCTGAGGGGAAGACAGAGAGTATTTTAAACAGATTTGTTAGATAGTTGTACAAAGTTGGTGAACTGCAGTTTGGAGGAGATTAAAAAGTCCTCAGGGACCAGACTCCAAATCAGCCTTTGGCTTGTCTCTATAGTACCTTACATAGGCTTCCTTCCTTTCAGTACAAGGGTTACTTTTATCCTTGTGCTAAGCAGGGGTCTATGAACAGCTTCTGTATTGGGGAAGTTGGTGTTAGTTGTTCTTTGCTTGTGTGGTTTCCCTGTCTCCACCTCTGTCTCACAGCCTTCTCTCTTTTGTGTCTACACTTGCCTGATTCCAAGGCTAGTTGCTCCTTTGTTCACCTATCCTCATCATTAGATCAAAGGCCCCTTGGAAACTAGTATAGCCCCCTTCCCTATTTGGGAATCTTTTCCATTGTCCATGACATGCTTGGACCTAGACTACTTTGAGTTACCACTGGCAGTTGGAGAAAACAGCTGCTGAAAGAAGAGGTGCTTCTGCTCATGGAATGGCAGCCACAGTCTGCTGTGCTCCCTTCCTGTTGGCCAGGAAGCCTGCCAGAGCTGCTTTGTATCTTATTGTCAAAGGATCATTTCTCCTTCCAGTCAGGCAGGTCTAGCCAGGAACCAGGCACCACTTTGCACTTTGTGCCATCTCACTCCTGGGTTGAGGAGCCCTTTCCAGGATCCATAGTGAGCAGGGGATATGATGATTAATATAAATAGCCCAGAAACTGCCGTTGGCCTGGGGGTGTATAGACATAGTAACTCATCTTTTAGATAGTGGCTCCCACCCCTGTGGCCATACCACGTCTGGCTTGATCACTTTGTCTGAAGGCTATCCCAGACTTAACTCTCAAAGGAGGTACCTGTTGAATTGAGCAGCGTTGATAAAGTACAGCAGGAAGTAGAGTATGATAGTGGCTTGGGGTCCATGGCATAGGGCATAAGTGATAGTAATCCAGGTGGAGAGAAGCAGAAGGGTGATTGAGGTACATGGGAAATACGTGCATATTTTGTGGTCTTTGGTGTGGTTAGATGCTGGGCCAGGTATTCCTTGCCCGCCTTACAGATCGTCTCAAGCTTCGTTGTGAACTAGAAAGCGTTGGAGAACCTTTGGGAGTTCACACCCTCAAGGGATCTGAAGTTTAACTCATTCTAGCTAGGACTGTTAGAAGAAAAAGCTAGATTTGACCTGACCTCTTTATTCCAAGCTTCGCTTTGATCTACTTTCTGTCACACACTCTGGTGGGCAACAGTCCAGTAATGGCATCTGCTGCTTTTACAGAAAGGCGAGAGGACCTTCGAGGAAGATTTATGCTTTGCTTTTTGGACGATGGAGCAGGAATGGATCCGAGTAAGTAATGAGATGATAACATTTCTTTGTGGAAGGATGTAACCATTTTTACAAAATACTTACTATGTAAACTTGTTTTTCTGTTGCCTCGCTGTTTGACTAGAAGATCCACCTGGGGAGTGAGAGGTCTGTTGCAACATCTCAGGCTTAATTCCACTAATGTATTTGCCGAGTCTTGTCTTAACATGGGAGATAGGATCTGAATGGCAACCTGAAGTCAGTCAGATTACCTGTCTCTTGACATTGTATTTATCAGCTTTCACAACATCCTGGAGCCAAAACTACAGAGGCCTCCCCCAGCCTTTTTATCATATTCTGGTAACAACACAGGTCACTTTGATGGAGGTACTGACAGGCCAGGCAAAGGTTGCCTGCGTTTTCCTCACAGTGGCAAATTTTCTTGGAGAGAGACACAGCCTTGCTGGGATTTAACAAAGGCTTTACCTTTGATTTTGAGGAGGCTCGGAAAGAAATGCAAACATGCTTTTTACTTTCTCTTGTGTCTGTCACTTTAGGTGATGCTGCCAGTGTGATCCAGTTTGGGAAGTCGGCCAAACGAACACCTGAGTCCACCCAGATTGGGCAGTACGGGAATGGGTTAAAATCGTAGGTATACTAGAGGCCTGTCATAGGGCTCAAAACAAAATCAAGAAATGATCTCCTGCTTATCTCAGGTGAAAACTTTCCTCCTCCTTGTCCTTTCTTGACTGTAACTCTGCAGCAGGAGGAAAGTCACAAAGGGGAGGTGGTTTTGGTGTAATTTACCACCTGTTGTCCAGCTGCGTTTGCTCCACAGATTGAAAAGTATGAACATCCAAAGCTAGTTGGGGCAGGAGAGGCTGTAGTTTTTCTCTGGGCACTGAGTTCTAGAACTGCACCTGTGCTGTTGAGAATTCTCATTTTTACCCCGTGGTTTAGGATGTGAGTGGTTCTCTTGGGTTGGGATGAGTCTGAGATGGTGATGGGGTTGCCTCACAGTGCATCAGTGTTCCCTGAGCCCCTCTGCATGTACTGGTCTGTGCCAGGCCCTGGTGATCCAGGTGAGTAAGAGAGATGTGAGCCCTCCCTCCCAGAGGACGCAGCCTCCATGCCCATGTCCTGCAAGGGCCTACAGCAGGGACCTACCTAATATCTTCAGATCCCTTGGGGCATCTTTCTTAGCCCTTGGTTCACACTTGTTGAGTGTTTGGAATGTGTTCTGGTTTTGAGTGAAGCCCCAAGAGAGAGGTTTCTATTTCTGAAATGCTTACTTCCAGCTGTACATACTTTTGGATGGAATAAGATTTAGTGGAATTGGAGTTTGTGAAAGTGGAATTATGAGTCATGTTTGCAGTCTTGCTGTGGAAACGTGTTGTTTTGTGTGAGAGAGTGGTGGTTTGATCAGTCAGCAGCCTTAGTTGGGCCTCACGTGCAGTGTGCTGTGCGAGTGTGGGGAAGAAAGAGAGTGCTTCCAAAGAAATCAGGGGCCTGGTACCTGGACTTTCTGATTTGTCTCTAGGGCAGGAACCAAATGGTAATGACAGATGCTTACCATGTGCCAGGCATGGTGCTAAGACTTTAAATGGATCTCATTTAATCCTCAGTATAGCTGTAAGGTGTGGGCACTATTATTCTTATTTTTAGATGAAGACATTGAGGTTTATAAGGGTAAAGCAACTTACCCAAAGGTGTAAAAATGCCTACATGAAGAGCTAGGATATAGACTGCATCTTTCTGACTACAAAACCAGAGCTGCTGTCCATTTCACTTCAATCAGACAAACTAAGGTTCATATCTCACCTTAGCCACTTAATTACTTCTCTAAGACTCAGTTTTCTCCTTTGTAAATTGAGATTATAATACATCTCAAGTAGATTAAGGATTAAAGACTGTCCTTGCTGTGAGAGCCAGTTTTCTGGCTTCTTATTTTGTTTCTTCTTTGATCTTTCTATGGCAAATTCTTGGCCTGATTTAATATGTCTGGGTAGGGCCTAGGAATCTGTTTTTTACAGGTGAAATGAATCACTTATGGTCACAGATGAATCACTTGGAAACCTTCCCTTGGTGATTCTGATGCAGGTGATCTAAGTTGCCAATAACCAGGGTCTCTTTGGGTCAGTGGGAACTCTGACTTCCCATCTGGATTGTAGGTCAGCCTCCTCCTGCCTGGTCTTATCAGATCTGTGGCATCAGGCAAGCCATTTCATTCTGAAAGTCTGTTTCCTCATCTAGAAAATGGAATGCTAATCTCTGACATTCTCCTTTACAGAGCAAGGTTCAGGAGCAAGTGAAATGTGACTCTGAAAGTGCTTAGAAAAGAGGAAAGGAAAATGTACAGAATTGGAGAGTGTTGTTATTAGTATATTTTAGAAGACATTGTGAAGG